TGGTTGTTTTCCATCTGCCTCTTCACCAATTATCCAAATGCCACATTTATTTCTGTGCTATGTTTTATGGTCAGTGTTTGTAATCTTTGATGTTTTATTGAGGTTGGGGACAGGCCCATCCCAGAATGCAGGCCAAACTAATGAGTTGAGATAGCAGCATTCACTGCTTAGAGATCTTTGAAACATTAAGCAGTATATGCATGCTTTTTTAAACATAACTAAATGCATAAATCCTGCAAACCTAGCAGTTCGAAAGCACGTCAAAGTGAAAGTAGATAAATAGGTACCACTCCGGCGGGAAGGTAAACGGCGTTTCCGTGCGCTGCTCTGGTTCGCCAGAAGCGGCTTAGTCATGCTGGCCACATGACCTGGAAGCTGTACGCCGGCTCCCTCGGCCAATAAAGTGAGATGAACGCCGCAACCCCAGAGTCGGTCACGACTGGATCTAATGGTCAGGGGTCCCTTTACCTTAAATGCATTTAAGAGATGGGTACAGGACCTGCCATTTTTTGGAGATTTCTAGGCCTGCTTTGGGAGTAACAAGTGAGATAGCAAGGCATATCCTAGGCCAAATTTGCCAAACTGGTGCCATCTGGATGTTGTTGGAAGCAACATCTGCAAGACACCAAGTTGGCAAATACTGGCCTAGGATTTTTCTGAGTAATACTATGGTTAGATCCCCTACCCAGAAGCTTTTGGGTATGCTGAAAGGTGATTCATTTCAAACCCACACATCACAACAATGTAAGCAGGCAATTGACTCAGCAAATTCTAACCAGCAGTGTATTTCAGGATTCTTCTTTATGCAAGGTGACAATTTTATTTTTTCTGCCTTCCAAGCTTATAAAGTAAAGTCCTTGACCCAAGTTAGTTAGAGCATTTCCATTTGGAACTTACATAGAATCACAGCTATTTTCCTGGAAGTAGGTCAGTTGACTGTAAAGCTTGGACTGATGCACTCAAGTGGTGGCTATGCTTACATTTCTTAGCCGATCCTGATACCCATCTCTTCTTATTGCTCTCAGACTCTTTTCTTAGTCATTGGGTGAGAGAGATGGAGAGAAGACATTATTTTGGTTAGGCTTTTCTCCTGATGTTTCGGGCAATTATAATTAAAAAACAATGCCCAACTTCTTATTGTTCAAAGACTAGTAGACCTAGATCTACAGGATCTGAAAAATACTGCCAATAAATATTGACCTCAGTTGCTCTATACTATAATAACCCTGCAAATTATGGAATCACCACAGCTCTGTGTCTGTATACATTTACAAGTATAGGAGAGCATTTACTCTTGCTTGCTTCAATGTGCTGCCATCAGCATTGCTAGATGGATGAGTTAATAAGACTCTGGTAAATGAATAGATGTGGAACAGTAGAATTTGTTGAACATGTTCCTGTACATTGTACCCTGTGCAGTGAATGTAGAAGGAGGTTGATTCTACCTCTACTGACAGCTTTTCCAGGAAGATCTCCCACAAGATTGGTACTGGTTTGCTTAAGGGACGCATCCTCTTGTGTCATGAATAGGGTTGCTGGGAGGTTTTCTGACCTCGATGCAGGTTTTAAAAAATCTTGGAGGCTTATTGAGAGAAGAAAAAATGTATAACTATTTGTGTTTGCTTTTAAGTGTAGTGTCTCTTACCTTTGTATGGAATTTTATTGGTCTGTAATAAATCATTTGCCTTGCTAAGGATATCCAGCCGCCCACCAAATACTTGAAAAAGAGGTGGGTGGAAATTTGGGCTCAGATCTAAAACAGACTTTTCTGTGTTTTTTCTCTCCATAGTGACACCCTGTTAATTAACCCAATCTAATCCCTTGATTTGATTTACCTATCATTCTTGAGTCCATGCCCTAATTTAAAATGGAGGTTAAATTATTCCCTTTGACAATTCACCCTTTGGCCATCACCCTTTTTGATGGTCAAGGATGCATTGTGCTACCTTTGCCTGCATTACTTTTTAATTGGCCCCTTTTTTTACTTATTCATCACCACTATTAATTTTACAATACTTTCTGGCTCTTAAATAATTTCTGGGTTTTATCCTTCTGTCCAGAGTATAAAAAAACCATTTTAGCCTGAGGCAATGAAACTTAAAAAAAATAAAAAAATCCAAAACATTCAATCCATTTGTAAAGCCTTCACTGTCTAACCTAAAGTTTAAAAAGTACACCCAACCTCATTTGATTGGAAAAGAGTGGATAATGAAGGGTCCCCTGCCCCGTATTTCTTTTGCCCCCTCATGTAGGGCTAAAACATGAAGTCAACCAATGAAATTGACTGGAAATAGGTTCAGAGCTGGCAGAAGGAAGTAATCCTTCGCACAACGAATAGCTACTTTAACAGAGAGGTGGAGAAGCTCAGGTGTGGGGCTGCATGTGGCCCTCTGACCCTCTTTATACGGCCCTTTACTCTGTGCCCAGACCACAAGCCCCATTCCAGACCACACGCCCTCAGTGCAACTGATCACAATGGGGCTCACTGCCAGTGTTGATCAGCTGATTGATGCTGTCAATGAGCCCTGCTTGCAAAGGAGCATTGGGGAGTCTACTTAAACTTCTTACAGTTCCACCACAAACAGTAGCGGTGGCGAGACTATAATATAATGGTGGCTGAGGGAAAAGAGGTGGCAGTAGAACGTAACGTTGTGCAAACCTCAACAAAAGCACTGTTGGCTGTCGGAACCTGCATTTGACCGAGGTCCTCTGGAACATAGCTGTCAAGTGTCCCTTATTTGAAGGGACAGTCCCTTATTCCAGCGCCATGTCCCGCTGCTGTCCCTTATTGATGGATGTCCCTTAAATGTCCCTTAAATGATGTCCCTTAAATTTCAAAGGAAGCAGCTCCTCTCCCTCCCTCCCTTCCTGCCGGCCAGGGAGGAGGGAAGCTCCAACTGTGTTGCTTGGCTGTGTTGCTCACCCAATAAGAAGTCTAAGAACGACTGGGGGTGGAGCTTGCATGCCTTGTGTGTGGCTAGTTAATGCAAGCTGAGGGGGGTTTTGAATGCTGGATGCCATTTTGTTGCACGTGCTGCTGTAAACTTTGCAGTGCAAAGCCAGGCCGGGGAGCCATCTTAAGTTGAGGCTGCATAGGCCTTGTGGTGCATGTGATTCAGATTCTATTCAGTTGAACCTCTGGTTACAAAGTTGGTTGGACAGTGTTCTCGAAGCTATCAGCATGAGTTTGACCAGACTGCAGAAGGACAGGAAGACTGGAGTGCCTGGAACAGGTGAAGCTGCAGGTCCCTTATTTTGGCTGCTGGTCCCTTATTTTCAAGGCTGCTGGTCCCTTATTTTCAAATCTGTAAGTTGACAGCTATGCTGTGGAATTGCCCTCTGATGATAATTAATGACCTGAGCCTTTGATGAGGCCTCCAGGCATGTTCCCATTACGCAGAGAATCAAAGCAGCAGAAGTGATGAGATTTATGGCTACATCGCTATGTTTTATTTTCCGGCTACGCAGACAGAAAAGAAGTACATCCTCTCTCTGGGAGAGCAGAGAGCAACTGAACAAAGGAACAGGAAACCAGTAATGTCACATCCGTCTCCTGTCTTCTGTGAAACTTCCAACAGCCTGGAATGTCTGGAATGCAAAACAGAGTCTTGTGACTCCAAAGCACTGCATAGTGGCAAACAGAAACTAACATCCTCCCCCTTTCTGTGAACACCACTGGGCAGTGTGTCAGTACAATCTCAGTACAGACCCAGTTTCTGTACATAGGTACAGTGTTGATCCTTTGGAACAACCTTGGACAATAAATCAGCAGGAATTCCCAAGAATTCCCAAGAAAGAAGAGGAGAGTGTTGAAGACTTACGTCTAATTTGCAGGTCTGAAAGAGCCACAAAAGGTAGACCTCCAAAGAGATTTGCTGATGAATTTGCTAAAGCAGCCAAAGCTGTAACTGCTGTTAATAGCTCCAAGAAGGTATTTGAACCTTCAAACTTCGAAGAGATCCAGGCTTTGGACTCGAAGGATGCTGAGCCATGGTTAACTGTGACTGAAGTGCATCAGGCCCCTTCCATGGGCCCAATCAGCAGGTCATAGAGGGAGCGCAGGGGGGACTTGCTGAAGGACCTGAGCCGGCGGGGCAAGGAGGAAGAGGAGGAGGTGGCTTCTTTGGCTGGGGACGCTGGGCCTCCTCCGCTAATTCACTATGTTTATTGATTCATTCCAGAATTTATAAGCTGTTCTACACTAATGGACTATTGAAGTAGTATACAGATTTTTCTTTTTTAAGATGGCTATTGTATCATCTCTTCATTGTCCCTTCTACAAGCTGACCAGCTTCACACTCATTTACAAGTGCTGGAAGATCTGCACTGTCTGCCTATTTTCTACCAAGCCAAGTTCAAGGTTTTGGTGTTAACATGTGAAGCCCCTAAGTAACTTGGGACCGGGGTGCCATGCATACTCCCTGCCACCCAGTAGAGACCAATCTGATCTTTTAAGATCTTCCAGGGAGACCCTGATGGTCACTCCACAGGAGGTGAATGGTAATTTGAAGAAAGGGATGGGGGAGTAATTTGATTCAGTTCACATTTAAAGGAAAACCTACCTAATTCACAATTTCTAAAACAATGTGAGAATCGAGACCCAGCTGTCCTTCAGACTTTGCACTTCTCTGAATTCTGTAGTGCAGTTCTTTGACCAATTAGGCATATATTAGGGGAACATACATACAGTAGGGAAAATGAAATGTATTAATGAAAATAGCATACTGGATATTTTGTATGAGAGCCAGTGTGATATAGTGGTTGAGAGGTAGTGTTGTGTAGTGATTAGAGTGCAAGACTAGGACCTGGGAGACCTGGGTTCAAATCCCCATTTGGCCATGAAGCTCATCTTCAGCCAGTCACCACCTCTTAGCCTAATCTACCTCACAGCATTGATGTGGGGATGAAATGAGGAAGGGGAGAATCATGTATGTACCTTCAGATCCTTGGAGAAAAAGGTGGGATGGAAATGCAATAGATAAGCAGTAAATGCACACCCTGCCCAGTTTTATTTGTGAGATGATTTATTTGTGAGATATAGGCTGCATATGGTCCATTGCATTTTTATGAAGTCTCCCTGAACTCAGAGGCATTCTCAGCTCTGCTTCTCCTTGTCCATCTCTTCTCAGAAGGACACCTGGGAGTATGACAGATTCTCCTCTGAGGAAGCTGACTAGGCGCCACTGCAATACAATGCCAGCACTCCACAGACATTCCTTGCAGAGAGCAAGACGATGAGCTGCTGCAGTTAATGGGATGCAGCTAAGAGAAATGATGGCAGTAATCACATCCCAGCTGTGAGGCTGCTGTTAAGATCTCCCAAGGAACCAGGAGCCCTGTTGCTTGAAATATTTACACCGTAGTACTGAGTATACTCCAGGGATCACTGCAAGGGGCTGAGGATATACGCTGCTACCTAGCTGCCATTTCTTTTCCACCACTAATTGATATGATTTGAGGTGAAGTACCTTTGTGCCTAGGGAATCGTAGAAATGGAAGGGAGAAGAGACCAAGAACTGGTATAAGCAAGGATTTCAGCATCTTTCTATAGAAGAAGAAGAAGAAGAAGAAGAAGAAGAAGAAGAAGAAGAAGAAGAAGAAGAAGAATGTATTATTTATACCCCTCCCATCTGGCTGGGTTTCCCCAGACACTCCCATTAAAATATTAAAATCCAGTAGTCCATCAAACATTAAAAGCTTCCCTAAACAGGGCTGCCTTCAGATGTCTTCTAAAAGTCTTGTTGTTCTCTTTGACATCTGGTAGGAGGGCGTTCCACTGGGGGGGGGGGTGACACTACCGAGAAGGCCCTCTGCCTATTTCCTTGTAACTTGGCTTCCCACAGTGAGGGAACCACCAGAAGGCCCTTGGCGCTGGACCTCAGTGTCTGGGTAGAACGATGAGGGTGGAGACGCTCCTTCAGGTATACTGGACTGAGGCCATTTAGGGCTTTAAAGGTCAGCACCAACACTTTGAATTGTGCTCGAAAACATACTGGGAGCCAATGTAGGTCTTTCAGGACCAGTGTTATGTGGTCTCAGTGGCCACTCCCAGTCACCAGTCTAGCTGCCACATTCTGGATTAATTGCAGTTCCCAGGTCACCTTCAAATGTAGCCCCCCAAAGAGCGCATTGCAGTAGTGCAAGCAAGAGATAACCAGAGCATGCACCACTCTGGTGAGACAGTCTGCAGGCAGGTAGGGTCTCAGCCTGCATACCAGATGGAGCTGGTAGACTGCTGCCCTGGACACAGAATTGACCTGCGCCTCCATGGACAGCTGCAAGTCCAAAATGACTCCCAGGCTGCACATCTGGTCCTTCAGGGGCACAGTTACCCCATTTAGGACCAGGGAGTCCTCCACACCTGCCTGCATCCTGTCCCCCAAAACAGTACTTCTGTCTTGTCAGGATTCAACCTCAATCTGTTAGCTGCCATCCATCCTCCAACCGCCTCCAGACACAATGCCCATGATACATGCACCCTACAGAGGCCCTACCTGCTGCCTGTGGGGTCCTGCTTTTTCTGCTCCCCCCATTACTGAAATGTGGTTTGAAAGAAGTCTTCTACTGTAGCCATTCAAAGGCTTTTTTCCCAGACATAATTCTGGCAATTCTCAGGACTGGGCAATAGCAGGGGAAGGAATAAAACTCATCCTTGCTTGTTGTGGTCACCAAAAGACTGGTTAGGATGCATTTTTCATATTTCTCAGAAAGTGTTATCTATTTCCCTCCTCCAATGCCCTACAGGCCTGAAATTTTCCACCTTTGGTTTAGCTTTAGCTTATGGTTACCAGATGTCCCCGTTTCCTGGGAACAGTCCCCGGATTTACAAATCTGTCTCCAGACAAAATCCGTCCACAACATTGCTGCACTGCCACCATTGAGGAGAGGTAGGAGAGCACCGGGAGGGCTAGGACACATGGCCGAGCCCAGCCCCGACCTGAGCCTACTCCATGGTGGCTAGCGCTCCAAGAGAGCAGGATGGGGCCCAGAGGAAGGCCGTGTGACAGAGGAGACCACAGAAGAGAAGATATTACTTTTTTAAAAAAATAGTAATTTTTTGAATAACGTTTTTTCCTCTTAAAAAAAAAGTGTCCCTGGATTATTTGGAAAAAATCTGGTAACCTTACTTTAGCTACGATGGGAAATGAATGTTGACAAACCTATCTGTGTTGTTGTTTCCAAGGTAGGAAAAAAAATCGACCTTGATCTACCTCTCTCTGATGCGCTGCATATGTACTGAAACTTCCGCTTGACTCATAGCCTTCAGAGGCCTCAAGAGCATCATTGCGATGGTGGGTTTTCACCAAACAAGAAGACAGCATCCCAGAGTTTCTGCCCCCAGTGAACTCTGCTGCCAGAGCTGGAGCGCTAAGAACTGTCATGGTAACCAAATGATGTGATCAGTGGGCCGTGCCAAAGAAAGCAAGTGGAAGAAAGGTGCTGGTGTCTTTGGGGCTGGTGGCAGGGGGAGAGGAGAAGATGCTATCTTGCAAAAGACGAGACCTGCACTCTTCCTTCGTGGCTGAAAAAGCATCTCTACAGTAATTGAAAATGTCATAGAATCCCCTGATGGAGCTAGGAAATATAGAAGAGCGCAGCCCTGGGTTGTCTCTTGAAGAAACTCAGAGGAAAAGGGGACAAAAACCCCCCTCAAAATGACTCATATTGTATGAGCAATAAGCTTGCATACAGTTCAACCAAACAGAATGGCTGGATCCCTTTTGCTCTTTTTCGCATTCAGGACATCAAGGGCAACGACTCCAAATTCAATTGCTTTTCAGTCTCAGCAGCAAGCTGAGAGCAGACTTGGGTCACATTCACAAGCTACACTTAAATCACCATGATACCACTTTGTCATGACTCCCCCCCCAAAGGATTCTGGGAGGCAGTTTGCTAAGGGTGTTGAGAGTTCTTAGGAGACCCCTATTCCCCACACAGAGCTACAATTCCCAGAATTCCCTGGGAAGAGGAATTGATTTTTAAACCACTCTGAGAATCGTAGCTCTGGGAAGAAAATCTTGACATTGTTCCCATGGGTGGGAGAATCACCTGGGCATACAAACACTTTGGGGACACTTTTACTGGTGTGGGGTGAGTTTTCACAATTCCCCAGTGCTTTTTTCTAGAAGAATATATTCACCATGAAGTTGTTACAATAAGTGTCACACTTTTTAACCAAAAAAGGAGAGAGGTGTCGGTACTGCGTGTGGGATATAAAGCTGTCAGTCAAGTCCAACATTCTGAGAGAGGACTAACTGCCTCTATGTGGCAGGCAGTTTTGTCAGTTGGTCGGTTGCTGCAGGGAGTGTTAACTGGTAACTACTCAGATGCAGTCTTCTCATAACTCACTACTATCTAGTATATAGTTTACTTGTTATGTAACCTAAGCCTGCCTTCAGGAACAACTCTGTAAACCTGAATGAATCTGATAGTAAAGTAAATGTAAAGGGACCCCTGACCATTAGGTCCAGTTGTGACCGACTCTGGGGTTGCGGCACTCATCTCGCTTTATTGGCCAAGGGAGCCGGTGTACAGCTTCCGGGTCATGTGGCCAGCATGACTAAGCCGCTTCTGGCAAACCAGAGCAGTGCACGGAAACGCTGTTTATCTTCCTGCCGGAGCGGTACCTATTTATCTACTTGCACTTTGACGTGCTTTTGAACTGCTAGGTTGGCAGGAGCAGGGACCGAGCAACAAGAGCTCACTGCGTTGCAGGGATTCGAACCGCCGACCTTCTGATCGGCAAGTCCTAGGCTCTGTGTTTTAACCCACAGCGCCACCCAGTTTATGTTAATATGATTCAGATTCATGTGTGTTTCCTTTAAGAGGAACAGAACGGAATTATCAACCAGGAAGGTATAATGATTGATAGGACTCAAACGAGTTAGCAACCCGCTTGTTGCTGCATAAACTCAAACAGGGGATCATTTAAACTCTGCTAAATTATATAAACGTTACCACACTGCGTACCCTTGAATACCCCCTGAAAAAAGCACTGCCCCTTTTTCTGGCAGCCCCTAGACCACTTCAGCACTTTTGTGGGGGAATTCAGGGGAGGAGAACCTGGATAATGTCACACCCCCCCTCCACACTTCAAAAACTGGTTCTTCCCTCTAAAATCCTGTTTAGAGGTGCAGCATGCACACACTCACTCACTCACTCACTCATGGTTTTGCCATTTGCAGAAACTAAGCTCACTATCACGCATAAATTAGAAAATAATTAAAATGCATGGATGTGAAAGGAAGGAGAATTCCCATACAGGTGCCTCACTTATAAAAGGAGCTGATTGACATTCAGGAGGTAGTAGGGGTTGTTCTAAGGCATGCTGGCATAAGACACTCAGAGCTGTGATGAAAGAAATGTGGCCAGGATGCTCATGTTTTCCGAAGGGACAGAGATAGGGCAATGGAAAAGAGGAAGTGAGGAAGGAAAGCTTGCAGTAATAATCCAGCAACATGGATGCTCCAAGTCTGGAGATTAATAATGTTCCACTCACTCAGTTTAACCTGCACAGACCTGCTTTGATTGCCAATGAAAGAGCCATGGGGGAGAAGGACTACAACACTGATGAAATAGATTTATGGATGAGCAATACATTATTTTCTTTGATTTGCTGTTGCTAAATTTGTGGGTTTTTCAGATCCTCGGTGCTAACCGTTTAATATCTTATGCATCAAGTTTCACAAGACTCCTGATGGGCTTTACAATTACTAATCCATCATAACAGCACCCGGAGGATTTGCATTCTGCAGTTATTTCTCAGAAAGGAGTTTGCTCACTGAGAAACCCATACCTTGCCATCATGGCTCCTTATCCCTTCCTATACTCAGAAGTGCTGTATATGTTTTCAATGTTGGTGTGGTACAATACTGCTGAGATTATACCATTTCAGACTCCATATTGAGGACTGGATGATTGAATGCTGTCTCACATAAAGAATAATAATCTCCCTGCATATGGAAAGTTAGCCTGGGAGAGGCTAGCTTTTGATGTGCATGATGTTGTTTACATGAGAGCACACTTTCAGCCCAAAGGCACCTGAAAGGATGTACAAATATTTAGAAAGCTGATACAAATTTTAATCTGATTTTAGCTTATTGGGTTTTAAAAAAAAATAAATCTTCCAAAACTCTTAAATTATTGTTGTTAATTCCTCTTATTGATAATTTTATTGCTTTATCTTTTTTGAAACACACACAAACACATATATCTCACACCAAATGGTTTTTTACATTTTATTTCAAAAAATAAATAACTATGCACTTTGCCAGACACTCCCATGGGTGTGACGCCTCAGGAGCCAACATTGTCTTCAACTACTCAGCCTGAGAAGGTAGCCCCTCTCCTCTCCTTTAACTCCAAGGATTTCCCTTCTGAACCAACAACTGAGCAGGAAGCCACCAGGAGTGACCCCTCTAATTTCCAACCCTTTTATTCCTCAGAAGGGCTGGATTTTGAGGCCTCACTCTGGCTTCAGAGCTACTTAAGCTCCCAGGCGCCACCAGACTTTTGCTAGAGCAACACTCCCAACTTGCTGTGCTATGTTGCATCATAGTCTGCCCAACCTCGTAACTGCAGCCTTGGTGAGCTGTCCATGGTCCTGATATCCCATGTCAATACCCTTGCAATCCCCCCCCTCAAATCCTGAGTCAGGGAGACTCAGGCTTGTCATTTGAGCCTCAAGTCCATGAGTTCTTCTGTAGCATATGACCAAGCAGCCAGGTACCAAATTCAGAGCCAAAAGCTTACAGTAACAAGCCATGCAAGGGAATAAATGCATATGTTTTATTATGGAGGTTACAAAACAAAATAAAAACACATTTACCACACAAAGACAGTTAAGAAGAGACTAACAGTATAAACACGTCTCTGGGGATTCAGCTGCAGATCAAAACAATCAAAGCTAGCTTGTTTCACTCTAATCCCAAGCCATGAACTCTTTTGCAAGCTGCGTCCAGGCATAAATGGTTAAAGCATCATTTGATCTTTCATTTGAAAGGGGGGCATTAGAGCTAGATATATATATATATATATATATATATATATATATATATTTAATGCTTATATGAAAAGGCCTGGATACAGATGCACATATTTCCGTTCAGCCAATCAGGGGTAGGAACACATTTCCCTAGCACTAGAGGGTGTGCATGCTGGGAGACTATGCGGCTACTGGGTGGATTTCTGCACAGTCCCTGTCACCTTGACAGAATTTTGCATGAGATACTTCACACAAGGATCACAGGATCCTAGGAACATAAAAAGCTGTCTAATACACTGCTCCATCTAGTTCAGTGTTTTTACTGACCAGCAGCATCTCTTCAGGGTTTCAGATTGGTGGGTGTGTACGCACACTCACCTTCCAGCCGTGCCTGGAGATGCTGACAATTGAACCTGAGGAAGTCGATGCTCTATTCGACTCCTGAAATGGTTCAAAAACCAACGTGCTGCTTCCGATTGGCTGCAGGAGTTTCCTGCACTCAAGGGGAAGCTGCTGAAGCCACGTCAGACATTCGGCTTCTGAAAAACGTTTGCAAACCGGAGCACTCACTTCCGGGTTTGCAGCGTTCAGGACCTGATTTGTTTGGTAGCCAAACCTTTCGAGTACCAAGGTACCACTGTATATTGTTATTCCTACCATGGTAGGCACTCTTTTCAACTTCAAGTCAGTGCAATTGTTATTGCAAATGCAAAACTGCCTTATGCTGTGAGTCAGTGTGGCGAAGGGGTAAGAGTGTCAGACTAGGACCTGGGGGACCAGGTTCAATATCAACTTGGCCATGGAGCTCACCTCTCAGCTTAACCTACTTCACAGGGTTGTTGTGGGAAAATCTCTCTCTCTCTCTCTCTCTCTCTCTCTCTCTCTCTCTCAACACAATGTATGGCACCTTGAACTCACTGAAGGGAAAGGTGGGGTATAAACTCAGTAACTAAATAAATAAGCCATGGTTCTTTGTGAGCTTAATTTGGGCTCTTCCTCTGCCTTAGATCCTTCCAACTGAAGACAACAGAGATGGGACATTGGCCTGGGTGTTAAAGCTCATCCTCTACTATGCATATCTGGTCCCCGCTCATACTGGCTAGCAACTCAATCTTGCCAGTCTATTTGGATGGCAGTTGAGGCTCAGGGATGATGGGGCCATTCTTCCTGGGAATGAAGGACTGAGTCAAGGATTTTCCCCGCAGGAGTTGTGCCAGGGACTAATTGCACCCGATAACGTGGTTTTTTTTACACTGAACTTGATGACAGGGATGGAGGGTATTCACCTTGCCTCCTGGCTTAATCAGTTAAGTAGAGAGGCACTTGGAACACCTTCTCCCAGGCTCCCCAGCAGCAATCAAAGAGTACTTAGAAGAAACCTGCACTGATTAAGCCTTGAAGATGAAACCTCGACACCGTTACAAGGACTGGTCTTCCTTATGCTTGCTCATTCTGAGCTCTCTTCAACAGCTCCATGAAGACTTAGAAATAATGAATGAGTTACAAGGCAAGCCAGAGATTTACCTCTAGAACAGATGGAGGATAAGGATATAAATAACTACTAGCCATAATGGTTATGCTCCGCCTCCATGTTCAGAGGCAGCAATGCTTCTGAATACTAGTTTCTGAAAGCCACAGAAGGGGAGAGTGCTCTTGTGCTCAGCTTCTGCTTGTGCGTTTCCCACAGGCATCAAGATGGCCCCCATGAAAACAGGATGCTGGACTAGATGGGGCATTGCTCTCATGCAGCAGGCTCTTCGTATGTTCTCAAATGGGGGTCCAAACCTTCTGGATGATACTATGGTAAATTTCTTCAATAAACACACCATTGTGATGTTTGAGATAGCTTTGCCCTGCTCAAAACTCCAGTGACCACCAAGGCACCTACAAATGTAAAGTCCTCAGGCCTGTAAATTACAGTGGTACCTCGGGTTGCATACGCTTCAGGTTACATACGCTTCAGGTTACAGAATCCGCTAACCCAGAAATAGTACCTCGGGTTAAGAACTTTGCTTCAGGATGAGAACAGAACTTGTGCTCCGGCGGTGCGGCAGCAGCAGAAGGCCCCGTTAGCTAAAGTGGTGCTTCAGGTTAAGAACAGTTTCAGGTTAAGAACGGACCTCCAGAACGAATTAAGTTCTTAACCAAAGGTACCACTGTACACAGGCATTCTCTCACCTTAACACATGCATAGAAATTAAGTCATGTTGACAGAGGAAAAGCATGCCTGCATGGTGAGAGCTGAACAGCAGGATGCCTGCTCTCTATCAAACTAGTTTGATGCCTACTCTTTGAGTAACTTCTGAGTAACCAGATCATCCTAACAATATCCTCTCTCTCTCTCTCTCTCTCTCTCTCTCTCTCTCTCTCCTATCTATCTGAACATATACTATAATCCCAACTACAATACCATATCCTGGTAGACTGAGAGAGGACCATTGCTTCATGCAGCCTCCTGCTTAGGGTGGTGGGTGCATACAAGACTGTGGTTTAATGTATTGAGGCATAATCCACTTCTTCTTGTATTAAATGATCTGGGAAACTTAACTTTCTTATACAGCCTAAGTGCAATGTCCATAAAACTACCACAACTCAATGGCTAACCCTTCTGGGTTTCTTCTAAAAGAGTATAGCTGTTGTTGGCATCCCACACTGCAAATGTTCAACCAGCTAAAACAGGGGTCAGCAAACTTTTTCAGCAGGGGCTGGTCCACTGTCCCTCAGACCTTGTGGGGAGCCAGACTATATATTGGGGGGGGGGGGGAATGAACGAATTTCTATGCCCCACAAATAACCCAGAGATGCATTTTAAATAAAAGCGCACATTGTACTCATGTAAAAACATACTGATTTCTGGACCATCCGCGGGCCGTATTTAGAAGGCAATTGGGCCAGATCCGGCCCCTGGGCCTTAGTTTGCCTACCCATGAGCTAAAAGGACACACAGTGATCCCTGACTAGTATTTAGCAAGGCTAGACATGGGGGAAGTAGCTGCAAAGCCAGCCCATCCTCCTGTGCCCAGGATTACTCATCCAGCCAGTATGATCTCAAGATCATAATAATCAGAATGGAAAACCTGCCAGCTGCATTGATGCATCAACGTCCTCAGCAGTGTGTTCAGTGGGTTTCTAATTAAAACATAAAGCAGGTGACACATGTTTTGCTTCCTTTATTGGAATGCCTGCATTGACAAGGCAGAAATCTATTTCCATTTTACTCATTGCAATGCCCCACCTTTAAAAATGCTGTGGATTTGGCACTGGATGGAAAGACTGGATGGAAACACCTAGTATACAACTGCCCCCCACATTGCATGGTCCCTCCTGCAACGCCTATGCTCTAGTCTCTTCCCAGATAGGCATGGAGGTTACTCTTAATTGATTGCAACTATACATGGAGCAGTATATTTTATCCAAAGCCGTGGCTTTCAAAATGTATACCAAGAAATACTCAGGTTCCTTGGAAGCAGGCCTGGTTAAAGGAAATGTAGTTGATTAATTGCACAATTTGTGATTGCTTAATCTATTGATTACATTTGTATGTGGTAAAACAATAGTTCTGAAACTAGGAACATACATCCTGTAGTTGTTAGATTATGTATCCATATACATGTAAGACATAACCACAGAAGTGGCATTTCCTTCCATGAGAGAAGAGGGAAACCGCTTTATGTTCTTATGTTAATTTCCACATTATATTTGAACTTTCACATGATGTAAAAGCCACTTCTGGAAAGTTACTGGATATAAAATGCATGTTTAGCACTCACTTCCATGTTGTTGGATTCCAGAAAAGAAATGTTTACAGCTCCTGGAAAATTATGAGAGTAATGTGATGAAATTTGGGGCAATATTCAGGCACACAGTTCATTCCTGCTCTTTTTCATGGAGGAATTGGGGGGCGGGGGTGGAACAGAAGCACACATGTGCAGAAAAGGTGGGGGAATACTCAATTGTTAAATGATGTTCATTGTTGTGTCACCACACCCAATAGTGTGACATGGTCATATATTGGTTAAAAAGCCAGAGTTCCATAACATAATTGCAGTGTGAAAGGAGCACTGGAAAACAGGGCTGAAGCTCTAACATTATAATCAGGAAAACCAGCACAATATCCCCCACATGTGACTACACCCCTAGTCTTACATCACTGATCTGACTCTAAAATTCGCAACCACAGGGAAACCTTGGATGTATTGAAGGAAGGGATGGAGAAGGGCTCTGCAGAGCAGAAGTCAGATTTCAAAATAGACTTGCCTGACTCATTCTGTGCAGATCATGAACCAGATCAGATCAAGAGTCCCCTTCAGCATCCATAGCCCTGAGGATCACTTTATGAAGTGTCTGAGGGCTGTGGTGCCGCCTCTGTCATAACATTTTACTTCCCTTTTCAAAAGCTCCAAAACGGGTCATCCAGCTGTGCACAGCCTGAAGTGGCTGATGAATGGGACTCCTTGCTGTTACGCATTCTGAGAACTGAGGATCAAGTCTCCCTGGGAGCAATAGGGACCTGAGGACCTCCCATCACTCTCAGAGGGAACTGCACAGATAAGAGCATGGGTGCCTCCATCAGGAATGGACTTTGGTCTTTTAAATCTCATTGGCACCCTGTGCGAGGCCAAAATTCAGTGCCCCCTGCCTCTTGCCAATTCACTACAGCACAGCCAGGGACGGAGGAAGCAGGGGTGCGGTGGGTGTCACTACTGAAGGGGGTGACAAAATGGCGGGTGGCACTCATCGCGGGGCCTGCAGCATGCCCAAGCCACACATCTCTCCTGGGAGTGACGCAGTGGCTTGGGCACCTGCAGGCTCCGCACTGCACCAAACGGTCTGCCTGCCGTCTCCCCCTCAGCTGTAGGGCGGCTGGAATATGCTCTCGAATCCTCTCTTTGGGATGAAAATCTTTCCTGTCCTTGTTATTTTCAAATCCTTCCTGGTCCCTACACCATATTCTTTATTTTTCAAACAGCAGGTGCCAATACCCCTGTTGTTGTGTTGAACACTTCAGTTTAGCCGCTCTCATTTCCTCCAAATAAAATGGTCCCTTTAAACCATCACAGGCCTGGGATCTGAGTCAGGAAAGAGAAATGAAGAATCGGCCTCTTCCACCTCAGAGAGCTTCAAGCATCTGGAACTAATCAATTACACATGAATTTATGAGCTCACTATTCCTTTGTCGTCCTCCTGCATAGATCATTATCTGTATTTACATTTCTGTTAAAATGCATTAAGGGGGAAAGTCGCCATCCCATTATTGGCAGTTATTTACTGAATAGGTATTTTGGAGCTGTTCAGAACTGTCAGAACTCGGATAACACCCAGTGCTCTAGCATCTGAGAAATTGGTTGCAGAAGATTATGTGGCTTAAATCAAATGCTGAGTGGCACATACATTGGCCCTGCATCCCACCCTCTTTTATGGGAAAAAGCTATAGCTCAGTTGAAGTGAAGATGCTTTGCATGCAGAAGATCCTGGGTTCAGTCACCAGCATCTCCAGGTGGGGCTGGGTTAAGACTTAGAGCTGCCACCAGTTCTGAGCTACATATCCACACTTGCTAGAGAACAGTGTCCTAAGTTCCTCTCTAGTATTATCTAGTAAAATTAAAAGGTACCACTACCAGCACACCATGGAAGAAGACTTGAGAGACAGGGTAATGGCAGAAGGGTTATGCAGTTAAATCTAACAATGCATATTCTTGTTGGTTAGCATGTGAAGGGGTTAAGACCATAGAGCTGTATTGCTAATAGGCAGGCTCAGACCATAAGCACTTAATTGGTAGAGAAGGCACTGTGTGATGTCAGGTCCCCATCTCGCCTGGGAGGGGAAAGCAAAGAAGTTTTTCCAATTCCTTCTCTCTCTCTCTCTCTCTCTCTCTCTCTCTCTCTCTCTCTCTCACCAGCCATTATAGCGGGTATCTATCTGCTTCCTCCAGCTGTTTTTGCTGTAAATACAAGTATTTTATCTGCATTTATTTTTACTGCTGTTGCTGCTTAGAATGAATGCTTGACTGTGAGTAAACTGCATGTTTTAAACTGTCTTTCATAGACACACAGAAAGAGAAAGAGATGGGAGGGAGAGAGAATCCTTAGGTCCATTCAGGGCTCCTCCCACCAAGATGCTACTCAGCCCCTGAAAAGGGCAACTAAAAAAAAAACCCACACTGTTGAAGGAAGGCACTGCTTTCCGCTTACAAGTTCATTGCTTTACTCCATTTACAAAGAACAGAAGGCAGACTTCCTGTTTATGCCTCTCCGCTTCGGTGCCAAATTATTTCTTAGTTCCTTTGTTTCCAAAATTAGCCTACTCACGGATCAGTGTTTTGCAGCCAAATTGTCCCAGGAAAAAGGCAGCGCTCTCCGGTAACGGCTGTGCGGCTTCGCTCCACGGAAGAAGCAGTTGACTCACAGCACCACGCCACTTCCCCGCTCCGCTCCGGAACCCGTAATCGGGCTCCTTTGCAAGTTGGGGGGGGCGCAAAAGGTGCCCGCCGAGTCCCACGGTCACAGGCTTCACCCGCCTGTGATTTTTGAAGGGTCCCCGCTTCGCCGTAGCGGTACAGACCCGATTTCCACAGAGCCGGTTCCCTCCGAGTCAGAGGGAGTCCGCCATTACCGATGGCGCCACCCCGGAAGTCCTGAAGTTTCAATATTCAAATAACAAACCATCTACACCACTCTCAGCAGCCATAAGAAACTACAGCTCCCAGGATTCTTGGAGGGAAGCCATGACTGTTCTAAGTGGAATACTAGTGCTTTAAATGGATGGTGAGGATGTGGCCTATTCCTTTCTTGGCCTAACTGTGCACTAGCTCTCTCAGCAAAACCCTTCACACTGCATTGAGAACCAAATAAAGCATTCATATGTTCATCTTTGTGAAATGTTCTTCTAACTATTACCTCAGGCATTCATTTACCTGATTCTGCTAGTGAGAACACATTGACATTGTTAAGGTTAATGGCCCAGTGATTAATAATAAGCATTTGCAGAGGAATGGTTTCTTAAAGCCTCATTGTTTTACCATAGTCTTCATTCTTTCCAGTGGAGTAAT